TAAGCGCCGGCGTTTATGTTATGTCAAAAATGAAATTTGTTTTCAAAATATACCAAATCGAAGCATTCTCAAAGGCGGATTCACCTGAGTCGAGAACGTTCGACTCTGTGCATGCTTTGCGCGTGAAACGGCCAACAAGGCGTGGCATCACGCCTTCCACGCCTTGTTGGCCAGGCCAGGTTCATCGAACGTGAACCTGGCCAATGCCAGGGCACACGTACTTCGCATCACAGCGGCCCAATCAGGGTTGCATGCGATCGTGGGCACGTCGTGGTTCAGCCACGACGTGCCCATCAACAGCAAGATTCCCTGCCACCGAGGCAAGGAGCTGTCCCTTTCAGCTCCTCTGCGGGGAATCTTGACTGTGGTCACACTTTCCCCGCAGAGGAGGCCGGGCCGCGAAACTGAAGGGGTCTCGGGCGAGGGCTTCATACGGCCCTCATTCCCGACTTTTTCTTCAGTTTTCTTCGTTCGTTTGGCCTGCCGTGGCCATGGCGGGCCTTCCAGGCACGCATTTCTTGTTCTACCGCCAACCTGCTGCTAGAGAAAATACCCGCAGAGACACTCGTGACTCCTCTCAATGGCAGACGCGCCCTGCGCCCGTCCCTCCACCACAACCAGTAGTGCCTCCCGTTCCTCCCACGCCTCCTACGCCTCCTACCCCTCCCGCTCCCCCGGCGCCTCCTATTCCTCCCGTTCCTCCGGCCCCTCCCGTCCCGCCTTCTGTTGGTTTTCCGCGACAGGGGGTTCTGCAGCTTCTCCTCCCCCCTGGCTTCTCGGCGTTCGACGCCTTCCTGTCCGAGCCTGAACACAGCGGCGGCGAAGGATCTTCCTCCGCACCGGAGCCACGATGGGGAGCGCCGGCTGATTGCCCGTTGGACGAATCCGCTACCGGTGCGGACGACGACGTGGAGTTCTGGGCTGCTGACGGTCTCCCCGAGGACCTTCCAATTCCCTCCTTTCCCCCTCCGAATAAAAAAAGGCCCCACCCATCTCGCGATAATCGTGATGCCCGTCCTCCCTCCCCCAGGCACAAGCCGACAAAGCACAGGCGCAATTCCTACACCTCGCATGAGAAGCTGCAATGGATTCTGAAGCTCGAAGCCGGAGAGATGAGTGTGCGGCGCATGTCTCGCGAATCCGGCATCTCCCGAAGGTGCCTCACGGAGTGGAAGAGCCGCAAGGGTGAGCTTGAGGGCGCGCACGGTGCACGATGTCGCCTGCACGGCCGCGGAAGGAGCTCGTGGTATCACGACATGGAAGCGGAGGTGTACCGGAGGTTTCTCGCCCACCGCAAGAAGTGCCTCGCCGTCTCGATCGCACGACTGCAGAAGTGGTCGCACGAGGTGATGAAAGAGTTACACCCAGGTGAAAGGTGGGCCGGCTCTCAGCGGTGGACTCAGCGCTTTCGCCGCCGCTGGAACCTGACGACCAGAGCGAAGACCCGGGTCGGCCAGAAGCTCTCGTCCAGTGAGTTGTTATTTGGTGGTATTGTTGTTTGTCTGTTCCCGTCTATTCACGGCTCTCACTCTGTGTTTGTGCTTTCTGTTCCTCCCATCCCGTGTCCCAGACTGCGAGACTGATGTCAAGAACTTCTGGACGTACGTGCGTCACTCCCGCCGGCAGTACAAGATCGACCTACCGTGGATTCTAAACGCAGACCAGACGCCCCTCTGGCTCGAGATGCCATCCGAACGCACCGTTGAAGAGGTTGGCTCGCGCTCCGTGCCCGTCCGTAGCGGCGGCTACCAGAAAGAGCGGGTTACAGTGATGCTCGCCTGCACCGCCAGTGGGGAGAAGTTGAAGCCTTGGGTCTTCTTCAAAAGGAAGACCGTCCCCAAAGGAGATTTCCCTTCAGGTATGCACCACACGTCGATTACGCGGTGGCATGTCGATGTCAGTTAAAAAATTTAACTAACATCGTGGTTTTGTTGCTGTGCAGATATCCACGTGAGGGTCCATCCCAACGGGTGGATGGACGCGGACGGTGTCATCGAGTGGCTGGACGGGGCGGTGAAGCCGTACATCAACCCCAAGTTCGGAGTCCGCCCCCGCAAAGCTCTGCTCGTCCTCGATTCGTACCGCGGGCACCTGACCCCAGAGGTGAAGAAGTTTGGCGAGCTGAACCTGGTCCCTGCGGTTATCCCTGCTGGCTGCACCTCGGAGATTCAACCCCTCGACATCGCGGTTAACCGCTCCTTCAAGGCCGCCGTTCGCCAGCTCTACCAGGAGTGGTTTGAGCGTGAGGGGGTTGACACCTTGACGAAGAAAGGTGAGGTGCAGCTCTTCTGTTTATGTTTTTATTTCTTTAACCCGTGCTGACCCGGTTTCTGGATTTGCGTGGGAGGCAACATCAAGAAGCCTCCTGTCGAGCTGACGCTCAAGTGGATCTCGGCGGCCTGGAAGTCCGTGCCCAAGGAACTCATTCAACGGGCGTTCCTCACCTGCGGCATCAGCAACGCCCTGGATAGGTCCCAGGACAACCTCTGCCTGCAACACAGGCGAGACGAGCTCAAGGGCGAGGAGGTCGACATGGATGATGAAATTGCAGCACACGGTTTCTTCTGCAACAACGTAGAGGAACCTGAGTCGGACTCTGAGGCCGACCCAGATGACCCCACTGCAGCTGATGATTAGAGTAGGGTAGATTAACTAGTGTAGAAAATGGTGAAGCATGTGTGAGGCTCGTAGGTAGGAGTAGATTAACTAGTTGTAGAGTAATTAACATGATGTTTTAGTATACTAATTATGTAAAAGGTCTTCAAATTAAAAAAATTAAAAAAAACCGGGTGGCGGTTATAAAATGTAAGGCACAGGTATGCGCAGGGCTGATTTTATCAGGGTAATTACCCTGATTTCAGGGTGATTTCAGACTTGTCACTCTCTGGACCCTGAGAAATCAGGTTTTTTCACATTTTGGTCCCTGATCCATTCAGAGTATTGCTTTAGCGGACCCTGAAATTTTGTGTACACTCTCAGTGTAGGGTTTTCACGGACCCTGTCAATACAGAGTACGAGGCCTGTGGACCCTGAATGCGATGTTATCGGGGCGAAGTTTCTCGGAAATTTCCTCCTGATAACCCCTTCGCATTGATTTCAGTGCCCCCCACGTGCTTAATCCTCCCCCCCCCCCCCCCCCCCCCCCCCCTCGCTTTATCGAGACGAAGTTTCTTCGAAGTTTCGTTCCCATACACCCACCATCTAGATCGGGCGAATGTGTAATGTCAGATTTTAGGTTGCTGTTATTGGTCGAAATAGACTGTCAGATTTCGAGCACATGTTGCGATTAGGGTAAAGAATGAGACTTCTGATTGAGTGAGACTTCTGTCCTCGGTAAAGAAAGAGCGCGTTACTACGACCCTGATTTTCAATTCTCGACCCTGAACATTCAGAGTTCACTACTTCTCAACCCTGAGCAATCAGGGTGCTGTTTTTCTGGAAAATGTGCCTTCAGGGTTTTTTTTTTTTTTTTTTAGGTTGAAATCAGGGTACCTAAATTTGAAAAGTCAGCCCTGGGTATGCGGTTATAATCCGTAAGCCTTTTAGGTATGCGCTTATAATCGAGCACCGGATATAAGCGCCACACGCCAATTAAAAGCGCCAGGCGCTTATCCGCGGGTGGCGCTTATATCCGGGGTATGACGGTACAAAGGCCTATATAAGATTACAAGGAATACGAAGAGGTGCAACTAACTGTTTTGCTGTTGCGGTTCGTTACAGTGACGACTCGGGCAACTGCTCAATACCGAGTCAAATGTTTGTCCTTGCTGTCGCGCTGTATTTCGTCGAGTCAAAGGTCACTGACCTTTGACCTTCACGTAACATCCAGCTGTTACTTTCTGTCAACCTCCTCGGTTGACTCGCCGTTGCTCCGCTGTGATTCGCCTCGTTTGTAGTCTATTGTTTCGACACAACATGAGCGTTAAATTTCTTGTTTCCAACATGGTACACACTGTACCTGTACCAACTAACCCCCCCTGTAGTTTCTATGGATGTACATGTATCTCCACAAATCCTTCCAAGGCACACATGCTACTTTGCCTTCCTGATGATCCTTTCGAGACCTCTTCTGCTCGTCTATCCTCCTCCTCTCCTCCGTACTAGCCCCCTCTTGCTCCTGCTCCTATTTCCTATTGATATAACGTCAATGGCACTAAACAGTCAGATCCATTTTTAGACACCCTAAAAACAGGGTACCTATTACACAGCAGTACCTACCTACAGCTAATAACCACGTACATCATTCAATCCGTTCACAAATCTAAGGGCAAGTGTTTCTTTGCCTTGATATAATCCTTTAGTAACCTCTTCTGCTCGTCTATCCTCCTCCTCTCCTCCCTACTCGCCCCCACCTGCTCCTTTCTCTTCGCATCCAAAATCCACTTTAAAACTTCCAGCTGCCCGTCCAGATCAATTTTCGACACCTGCCCGCCCGTAAAAGCCAACCCAGGCACTCCAGACCCTTCCCCTGCACCACCACCAGCACCATCCCCCGATACAGTCACACCTGCCGGCCCAACCATCGCCTCCATATCCCACGATTGCATCTCAGACGTTCGTTTGGGGGCCGAGGAGGAAGCTGCAGGGGAAGCTTCCTCAGAACCGGTACCAGGAGCACTGCTGGTGGTGGTGGCCGGATCTGTAGCGGCTGTAGTGCCAGCAGCACCAGTAGAAGCAGCAGCTGTAGCAGTCTCTCCTCCTCCTTTCTCCTTTTTGCGTTTTTTCTCGTCGTCTAATTCGGGTGTGTCGGGCATTCGTGCTGCGTCTTTCAGAAGAGCTTTTCCTCTAAACAGCATGTAGCCTGGTGGATAGTGGGGGGAGGGGGGGGAGAAGGAAGCGGGTGAGTACATTGCATCTCTAAACGGGGCTTTTCCTCTGAACAGCATGTAGCCTGGTGGGGGAAGGGCAAGGAGAGGGTAGAGAGAGGGAATGTGGAGGGGACAAATTGGCGGATGAGAGAGTGTCTTGCATCCACCGAGAGTGCATTCGTGCTGCATCTTTCAACAGGGCCTTTCCGTGAAACAGCATGTAGCCTGGTGAGGAAGGGCAGGGAGAGGGATAAGGAAGAGCCACCCCTTAGCATGTGGCATGAAGAGCCACCCCTTAGCATGTGGCATGAAGAGCCACCCCTTAGCATGTGGCATGAAGAGCCACCCCTTAGCATGTGGCATGAAGAGCCACCCCTTAGCATGTGGCATGAAGAGCCACCCCTTAGCATGTGGCATGAAGAGCCACCCCTTAGCATGTGGCATGAAGAGCCACCCCTTAGCATGTGGCATGAAGAGCCACCCCTTAGCATGTGGCATGAAGAGCCACCCCTTAGCATGTGGCATGAAGAGCCACCCCTTAGCATGTGGCATGAAGAGCCACCCCTTAGCATGTGGCATGAAGAGCCACCCCTTAGCATGTGGCATGAAGAGCCACCCCTTAGCATGTGGCATGAAGAGCCACCCCTTAGCATGTGGCATGAAGAGCCACCCCTTAGCATGTGGCATGAAGAGCCACCCCTTAGCATGTGGCATGAAGAGCCACCCCTTAGCATGTGGCATGAAGAGCCACCCCTTAGCATGTGGCATGAAGAGCCACCCCTTAGCATGTGGCATGAAGAGCCACCCCTTAGCATGTGGCATGAAGAGCCACCCCTTAGCATGTGGCATGAAGAGCCACCCCTTAGCATGTGGCATGAAGAGCCACCCCTTAGCATGTGGCATGAAGAGCCACCCCTTAGCATGTGGCATGAAGAGCCACCCCTTAGCATGTGGCATGAAGAGCCACCCCTTAGCATGTGGCATGAAGAGCCACCCCTTAGCATGTGGCATGAAGAGCCACCCCTTAGCATGTGGCATGAAGAGCCACCCCTTAGCATGTGGCATGAAGAGCCACCCCTTAGCATGTGGCATGAAGAGCCACCCCTTAGCATGTGGCATGAAGAGCCACCCCTTAGCATGTGGCATGAAGAGCCACCCCTTAGCATGTGGCATGAAGAGCCACCCCTTAGCATGTGGCATGAAGAGCCACCCCTTAGCATGTGGCATGAAGAGCCACCCCTTAGCATGTGGCATGAAGAGCCACCCCTTAGCATGTGGCATGAAGAGCCACCCCTTAGCATGTGGCATGAAGAGCCACCCCTTAGCATGTGGCATGAAGAGCCACCCCTTAGCATGTGGCATGAAGAGCCACCCCTTAGCATGTGGCATGAAGAGCCACCCCTTAGCATGTGGCATGAAGAGCCACCCCTTAGCATGTGGCATGAAGAGCCACCCCTTAGCATGTGGCATGAAGAGCCACCCCTTAGCATGTGGCATGAAGAGCCACCCCTTAGCATGTGGCATGAAGAGCCACCCCTTAGCATGTGGCATGAAGAGCCACCCCTTAGCATGTGGCATGAAGAGCCACCCCTTAGCATGTGGCATGAAGAGCCACCCCTTAGCATGTGGCATGAAGAGCCACCCCTTAGCATGTGGCATGAAGAGCCACCCCTTAGCATGTGGCATGGGGATATATCCCCCCTTCCTTGCATGCGGCATGGGGACGTACTCTCCCCTTGCCCACGGCAGCAAGGGGTTGAGTGCGATAACGAACCCAAACGCTCCTCACATGCGGTACCGCAAGGGAGAAGGGGGTAAGGGGGAGGGGGGTAAGGGGGAGGGGGGTAAGGGGGAGGGGGGTAAGGGGGAGGGGGGTAAGGGGGAGGGGGGTAAGGGGGAGGGGGGTAAGGGGGAGGGGGGTAAGGGGGAGGGGGGTAAGGGGGAGGGGGGTAAGGGGGAGGGGGGTAAGGGGGAGGGGGGTAAGGGGGAGGGGGGTAAGGGGGAGGGGGGTAGGGGGAGGGGGGTAAGGGGGAGGGGGGTAAGGGGGAGGGGGGTAAGGGGGAGGGGGGTAAGGGGGAGGGGGGTAAGGGGAAGGGGGGTAAGGGGGAGGGGGGTAAGGGAGAGGGGGGTAAGGGGGAGGGGGCTAAGGGGGCTGAGAAGCCCAACCCAGCACGCTGCTCCCAGCACGAGGTTGAGGGCGAGCAGGAAACTGAACGCTCCCCGCATCCAGTACAGCAGGGGGGAAGGAGGCGAGGGGGAGTGGAGCAAGGGGTGGAAAGGGGGGAAGGGAAGAGGGAAGGGGGAACCCAACCAAAGCACGTACCTCCCAGCACGAGGTTGAGGGCGAGAAGGAAACTGAACGCTCCCCGCATGCGGTACAGCAGGGGGGGGCGGGGAGCTCCCCCAGCTGCTGACCCGGGGGGAACTCCCGCGGACCTGGGTCCTTGGGCGGATAGGGGCGCTGGCGGAGATGCGGGGGAGGAGAAGAGGGAGAAGATGCCCCAAGGGGAGGAGCGCGCGGGGAGGTCCGGGGGAGCTCTGGCTGCAGCTGTGGCGGAGAAAGAGAGGAAGGGAGGGCGGAAGGGGAGGAAGGGGGGAAGAGGGGAAGGGGAGAAGAGGGGCAGGTAAGGAGGGTAAGGGGGTCGGAGTGGAATGTAAGGCGATTAGTTTTGAGGAAATGAAAAAAATAAACGAAAAAGACTGTGGAGGGGGATCCGTGGGGAGAGGTGAAGAGGGAGAAAGACCCGTGGTTGGAGAAGAGGAGCGGGTGGGGGGCTCTGAGGGAGCTCTGAGGGAGCACTGGCTGCAGTTGTAACCCCCAAATCCTCACCGGCTTTAATCCCCCTTCGCCTCGTTAGACCCCTAATTACCTCCCCACCTCCTTCAATCCTTTCTCACCTCCCTAGACCGCTCCTCATCTAGTTAGACCCCTCCTCACCGCGTTAGACCCTCCTCACCTCCTGCCGTTTCTCGTGCCTTCTTCGGGCGTCGCGTGAACAGCTTCAGACGGCCAGACGTGCTGCCACCCTGCGGATCGGCCATCGTACGCTGACTAGCTTGCCGGCTAACTTGCAGACCGACTAATCGACCAGATAACCGACTGACTAACCGGCTTCTCCTAGATCCACATAGAAAATGACTATCCTTCGTTTCTGATCCACTTTCTTTCCAGCTGACCTTCGTGTTTTGGTGATCAACGGATTATTTTTTCCAAAACGACCAAACGTACAGCCGCGCCTCGGGACTCAAGTATGGTCTTATCGCGGAGAATTGTAACGAGGATCATAAGACTAGGAATCTGTAACAGCGCAGGGCGCCTTCAAAGGAGCAAATCAGCAGCGCAGAGAATGTGCTTGAAGCATAAGGTTGAGATTCCGCGATGTAGGGCAGCTCGCATCGAATTAACGAGGGTTCCAGAAGTACACCTGGAAAATATTTTTGCCAAGGCAGATGCAAATAAAATATTTCATAGTGCAAACTACACTAAGCATTACTGACAACGTTCAAACATACACTAATCGATTAGAACTAGGATAGACTAGGTGATCACAAATATGTAACAAATGTATTGATCTGCACACACAGATAATGCAGTACGTAATAAAACACAACGGGCAACAAGCGTTTGCCCCCACTCTACACCTCACATGGAAGATGAACGTCGAGCTGATTCATATCCTCCGACGCATGCAGACGCAAATCATGCTCATTTGCCAAATGCAGCACGCAGATAAAGCACAGATGCACTGAAATGTCACTCAGCGCAGCCGCCCTGCAGTTGGCCGGGAAATTATGCAGCACTCGATCAAAGCTGATAGGGCCGGAGGAGACTTCTTCATCATATTGCTGCTCCTCCCTCTCATGGGCATGGCGACGTTGCAACTCCACCCAAATCGTGTCTTTCAGAATCTTCACATCCACCTGCTTGGACTGCCTTGCATAGTTGACATCAATCTTTTGTGCCTGCCAAGTCATCAACAAAAACAGTGACCAAGATGAGAAGGTGGAGATGCAAGCACAAGGATAACAACAAATGGAAGGAGTGGATGGAGAAAGTGGAGAAAGGGCAGGCAAGACCTGGTCACATTCCTCAACCTCAGCATGCCTGTCAACACTAGCTACAGAAAGAGCTCAGAAAACAAAGATACAGGAACGCCACCATGGGCAGCAGAAAGGAGCAGGACAGTGCTGAAGAGAGTCTCACCTTCTTTGGCATTGGAACCAGATCCTCCATGAAATCATCTGCTGGTTTGACCTCTGCAGAATCCCCTTGCCCGTCAAAATCATCCCCATAGTCAAACGGATCAGCACACTCGTCGCCTCCCCAGTCGTTGTCAAACCCATCGTCACCTCCGCCAACCGCTGCAAACCCATCTCCACCTCCATCCTCAAACCCCTGCTTCGCCCCACCATGCCTCCGGGTCTTCCGAGCCAAGAAATTCCAATCCGAGCTCATAAAAACCGTAGCCAACTTGCGTCCATCATAATGGTAGTCCTTCGGAAGCAGTGTATTAACCACCTTGCGACCAGCCTTGGTCAACTGAATCTCTTTCAGCGCTTTAGGGACCTGAAACAGGGACTCGTCGATTTGAGGGTCCGAGAATACAATCAGCTCCGACTTTGCTGCCCTCTTCTTCCTCCCCTTCGCCTCGGGAGCTGCTGCAGGCGCCTCCTCCTTGGACTTAACAAAGTGCCAGTGCTTAGGACCAGCCCATGCGTTGCTCCCCTTCAGCCTCGTCATGCCCATGCCTGCTGCCAGCCAATCCACAGCGTCCATACCATCATCAACATCCGAATATCCGTTCTCCCCGTCAGATTCCCCCGCTGGGATCATCCCAGGAGCACCACCACCAGCAAACGGCGGACCAGCGAACCCACACCCATCATCATTCCACCCATCATCACCACCACCAAAATCCACCACAGACCCATCGTCGTTATCATCTCCGAACGGAAAACCTCCCCCCACCCCACCCACTGGCTCATCTCCCACATCAAACGCCTTAAATCCGTCTCCGATTCTAACAGCATTCCCATCCATGTCATGAGAGGAATCCTTGGCACTGGAGCCAACAGCTGCCTTCCAGCGGTGATCTTCAGCCAGCTCGTACAGAGCAGAGATAGACGGGGTGATTTCCCAGCTCTCAGGGTCATCCGCGCTCATTAGGAGCTCCACTTCGCCTGCCAGGCAGCAGCACAAATATGTCAGATGAAAACCTGATAGTTTGTTCATGTGTGCAGCGGAATGCTCAGAACACAGCAGCACAAACTTGTTTGATCAAAACCTGCTTGTTTTTTCCATGTGCAATGAAAGCTTCAGCGAGCAAAGCAGCACAAATGTGTCAGTTCGCTGAAACCAGAGGTGAAATCAAACAAGAGGTGAAACACGAATCCCGAGCAGCACCGACAGGGTAGTCATTGCGAGTTTTTTTCTGAGAATAAGGGCGAGAAGGAAAAAAGCATCCACGGTAAGAAACAAACGGATCACATTAAGTTTTGTACTCACGAGATGCAAAGGAAATATCCACGTAATCCTTCCCCTGCTCCTCCGGCTGCGTGCGTGAAGGGTCCACGATGATGGCCTCTGAATCGAACATGATCTCGCACCCGTTAAACACGGGGAGATTGTACAGGAGCAAGCCGCTTGCACCCCCCTCGTCGAATTGACCAGAAGTTTTCGTGAAAAGGGGGTCCGTGACAATGGCACCTGAAGATCCAGGCACGGATCAGTAGGTCAGCTTTATAATTGTATTTGACGTAAATAAGTAAAGCATTGCATTTCGATGACTCACGTTCCAGCTTCTTGACGTTGATCTGGTCAAGATTATCCTCCAGTGTGCTGGAAGTGGCTGGCAGCTGCATGCACAAGCAAACATAAGAAATGCCATGGGTAAGGCCGCCTTAACTTCCATACACAAGGTCATTTCAAACATCAGAGAGTAGACACATAACAATACCAGGGATGTCCGACTACCTTCTTCTGAGACTCTCGTCGACTGCCGTTGCCTTCTTCCTGGTCACCTCCTTCTTCATCTTCTCCTGCAAAAGCGCAGAGCCAAGGCGTCAGTGACAGCAGCAGCAACCTAACGAGGTGCACCGAAGAACGACTGTCGCAGGTTTCTCGTTGGAACCTTCCGAGGGTAAGTACACGTACGTGTATCGCCTGCTCGGGTCAGGCCGCTGAGCACTTTGTACGTCTCGGAATGGATGGAGTCGACTCGGTACGAATAGATCTTCACGCCAGCCTCCAGCGTGCAGCTAGCCTGTAATACGAAGGATGATGACAGGAAATTTATTAGTATACTACCAAGGCACCTGTTGAGGCGCCTCAAGAAAAGACCTTCACATCAGCTTCAGGATGGAGATATCCTGCCGTAAGAAGAAACTCGACTCGGCACGGCGGATGGTGCTAGTAAAAGGATGAAACAAAGACCATTTGGCAAATTTAAGAGAAATCGAACCTTCTGGAAGTTAGTCTGCGTATCGTTTTCGCAGTCCGCCTTGACGATTTCCGACATGTGGTCAATGAGATCAAGATCCCATGTGTTCTTCTGATTGATTTTCTGCACAGATCGAAATCGGTAGGATGTCAGCTTCGTTCAGACAATTTACCCACTACTCGTCCTCCAAATTAAGCAGCCGTGGCCAGCGTGACCTCATTTTCGGAGACCTTACATTCTCAGCAGCCAGCTTAGTGCAGTTCTGGTACAGCGTAAGGAGGCGATCTCCAGACATCTCTTGAGGGTCGCAGCTAGAGCGCTTCTTATTCGCTTCTTTCATTCGGTCTGCGAACAGCCTACGCTGAGCTGCCTGACGCTCCTCCCTAATCTTCCGCTTCTCCAGCTCGTCATCGTTGGCGCCAAACGGAATGAAGGCAGGTGATTTGGGATAGAGACTGGGGGACTTGAACATAATCGGGGCACCCTCACGCTGTACAGGAGATCGGCCATCCATTTTTGCAACTGCTCTCTAATTCTTCTATAAATAAACGTTGGAAGGAGAAGAGTCTCGGCAATCCCTGAACGTGAAATGCTTCAATAATGCCTACGACAAACCAAACAAACTAAAATCTAGGGGGAAGTAGACGGAGGAAACTTCAAGGCCGTGGAGAATGATCGTCCGGTGGAAGACTCAGCCAGTTGTCGTCGGGCAGCGCGTAGGCAGCTTTCCAGGACGCTGGTTCCAGTGCACCTAGAGAAAAGCCTGGGAATTCCGTCGAACGACCAAGCCCAGAGTTAAGTATTGCAGCAGATTCCAGTGACACACAGATTCGGAGGGGGAAGAGGTTTGTTCGCCACACATTAACAAAAAGCACCGAACAGGACCGTGCTGTAAAGCGCTGCACGCTGAGATGTGTAGGGGGATGGTGGAACTGGAGACTCGATGGAGGTTGGTTGGTGCTGGGGTGGGGCAAGCTGGGCTGGAGCCTGGAGGAAAGCTGGGCTTGATTGTGCCGAGACGCGCGACCTGGCATGTTGTCAGCAAGGCTCGGCGGGAAACACAGCTTGCCGCATCAATTCAAAGTTGCAGCTTGCGTGAAGTTCGTTACTGTAATGAGGCGAAATTCGTACAGTTCTGTCTACACTGTTGAGCTTCCTCGTAAAATATATACACAGGCACAAAGTCAAGTCCCTCCCGCAATCTTGAGTTTCGAAACCCTGGCAAAACAGCAATTCCACTTGGCGGGACAATAGAGGTCAGTTTTCCAGAGTGTGCAAACCTCTTCTGGCTGTGCAGCAGACCACGCCACCCGCCTCAGCTTCTTCTCGTCAAACAGACTCCCCCCAGCCCCATCCACAACACCACGTCAGCAAATCCAGCCTGGGTCAGCTTTTCAGTATCGCCACGTGTTTGATTTCTCTGACGACACATCAGAGCCACATCCCCTACTCCTTGGGATCGTCTCGTGCTCTGGGAAATCCATCGTCCAGGCTCCAGGGCTCATCCAGCTTGGGGGAACTTCAGTGTTTCCCTGTTCCTCTCCCAGAGCTGCTGCAGCAGCTACCTGCTGCTTCTAGAACCTACAAACCGCCATACCCTTCCAATTTTGTCCCTCTTTTTCCCATTCCTATCTTTAGGCCGTTGACGGCTTCTGAGCTTCGATTACCGAAAGCCTGCTCGCCGCATTTCCTCAGCAGCTTCTCGTTGCTCGATTAGCCATTTGTCGACGGTCTAGTTTCTGCCTGAGCTCGCATAGAATCACCAAAATGGCGTCAGTCACGAAATTGACGACGTCAGTGCTTTCGAGCACTGTCCTCCCAGCACTGCCTAAGACCACTTGCAATGTAAGGGGTCTTGCTGTTCTTCGTGCCGATGTCTTATTACCAGTTCTTGCTCCTAAATAATAATTCGATTTGTTATGATCACTTGTGTTAAGCTCGTAGGGTTCTTCTCGATTCCTTGACGTACAGTGTCCCGCAGTTGGTTTTCGCCCCAAGTAGCTGTTATTTTGTTGTTCTCAGTCTTGTTGTGAACCAAAACTTTTTTTCCAGGCTCGCGCTGCACTTCCAGCGGCTGGATTTCCGCAGGGTCAGCTCCGCCTCCACCAAAACCGCCTTAGGTATGTCGCTGACGTGATTTGGTGCCCGTTACAAATAGCGCGGCATGTGCACCTGGATGTGTCTATGTCGCCATTTGGCGGCCTTTTCTTCTTAATTTCGTGCCCACGTTTGAACTACACGTTGAAGGCCCTAATTCCACAATTCGTGAATTCAATGCAGTTCATTCAATATTCACCGCACTTCCTTGATTCCTCCCGTCTATATTCAACTCAATTCTTCCTACCATCCCGCATGTCTTGTTTCCAGAAGAGCTTATAACCTTCATGTGTTTAATCTTCAAACGGTGCTTTGATCTCCACCTCCCTTTTTCTTCTTCACCGCCTTTTCTTGCTCCCCGCAGAGCTAGCTTCCAGAAGAGCCTTCATCTTCCCGTCTCCAGCAGGGCGTTCCCCTGTGTGAGGGCCGTGAGCGTGGAGGGAGAGACGGCAGTGGAGGAGGCGGTGGAGGCTGTTCCCGAGAGCACCGATGCCGTCGCTGAGCAAGCGCCAGCTCCCGCTGCTGCTGCTGCTGAGGAGAAGACGGAGGAGAGGAAGGCGCGGCCTGGGGCTACCAGGAGGAGAAAGGTTACAGTGAACGTTGAGGACCTCCAGCCCGGCCAGGAGCTCACGGGCAAAGTTGTGAGTGTCTCGCGGTTTCTACGCTCATTGTTTCTCACTTTCCTGTTTCATGATTCATGCATTTTTTAGGCTTTTTGAAAAACTCGCCTCTCGAAAAAGCCTAATTATACTTTTATTGATTTGTTTCCGTCGCGTGGGTTCGATTAGAAGATGTTTCTCGCGTTTGGGAAGCCTTTCGTGATTTTACCCAGTATTCAGGCTCGCGCGGTGCTAGGGTTTATCCGAGCGCGTCTCACCAGGTATTTCCTTCCCGTGATTGTTCTGTTCTCCGTGCTGCGTGCAGCGTTCGGTGAAGCCGTACGGAGCCTTCGTTGACATTGGCGCCTTTACCGACGGCCTCGTCCACATCTCCCAGCTCGCGGTACGGTGTTACGGAAGTTGCATTTCACGAATAATCATGATCACGATATTACGTAAAAGCTAATTTGCGTTCCCGCCGTTTAGGCCTCCACGAATGTCCTTTTGCACATTCCCAGCTGGGAATATTCAGTTCACGCGCATTTCTAGCTCATCAGTAGGTTAGGTGTGCGAAGCGCTTAGAAACCGTAACCAATGGATGTAAGAACTCGCATCGAGACATGTCCTCGGACGTTGCGTTAATCGCAACGGAACGGTAGAATCAACTTACACTTGCCTCCGTCCTGCCTTTGCCTCAAAACTCCCTAAATGTCGCTCCGTTCGCACGTTTTTTTTCGCCGCAGGCCGGTTTTGTAAACAAGGTGGAGGATGTGGTAACCGTCGGGCAGGAGGTTGTAGTGCGAGTGATCGAGGCCAGCAAGGAGTCCGGCCGCATCGCGCTCACCATGCGCGACCCGGAGGCGGAGCGCGTGGCGGCGGAGGAGACGGCGGCGGTGGATGCGGAGCGGAAGGCGTCGGCGCAGCAGCGGCGGTCGGAGCCCCGCCAGGAAGGCGCGGAGGGAGACGCGCCTGAGAGGAAGGTTGCGGGCAGGGGGCGCAGGCAGCAGCGGGAGGATCAAAAGCCGACGCATAACTACAAGAAGGGGCAGAAGGTGAAGGGCGTGGTGAAGAACCTGACGTCGTACGGATGCTTCGTGGAGCTCGAGGGGAAGGTGGAGGGGCTTCTTCACGCCTCCGAGATCACCGCTGGAGGTAAGCTCACTTAATGGTTTAGTGTCAGGAACATGGTTGAGGGTTGTGAGTAAAGGGGTGGAAAGTGAAGGGCGTGGTGAAGAACCTGACCTCGTACGGATGCTTCGTGGAGCTCGACGGCATAGTTAAGGGGCTCCTCCACGCGTCGGAAATCGCCCCTGGAGGTGAGCTAGCTCTTGTAGATCGTGACCTTCATGGGCTAACTTGGAATAACTGAATGTCGATGAATGAGTCGCTGGAATAACGGACGTCGTTGCCCCTCCTCTTTCCACTCACACTCCAGGCGACATGGCGCCTGTGGAGTCGCTGGTGTCGGTGGGCCAGGAGCTTGAGGTCGCATTCGCGAATGATTGGAACGATTGAAACTAAACCTTTCCGAACTAAACCCGTTGCCCCCTCCTTCCTTCTCCCCCTTTCCCCGCACCAGGCGACATGGTGCCTGTGGAGTCGCTGGTTTCGGTGGGCCAGGAGCTCGAGGTCACAATTGCCAAGGTTGAGGTGAGTCCTTCAGGCTGACAAGGGACAGTGGAACGAGGGGGGAGAAGATGGGGATGAAGGGGAAGATGCTTTGCTACTAGTGGTTTAACGAAGTGTTATGTTATATGTCAGTTCATTCTCGTTACAACCTTTCCTTTTTTTGCTCTCGTCTCAGCTCTTTAGGAATGTGAAGCTGTTATGCGATATAACGGAGCCTGTTATTTCTTACATACATTATGTGAAAAGTGCTTTTACACATTAATGAATCCTCCTTCCTGCTCATTTTCGTTTCACCGTGGCTTTTCCGTGAGCAGAAGAACCGCATCAGCCTGACAATGAAGGAAGAGGTCGATGTGAGTATCCTTACCGTCCTCGCGCTCCACCATACCCACCTTGTGCACCGTGGCCCCGTGTAGTGTCGTTTCTTGTACAGTGTTGTGCCACCATGCCCTGCACCATGTCCCCTGGGGATCCCCGCACTTAACGGTCCTGGCGCCCATCTGACCCTCATTCTCGTCTCATTGGGCCCCTAACCCTCGCGCTTCCGCTCTCCGTTCCCTTCCTTCTCCAATCATCAGGTGACGCTGTTCAACGAGACGAGCCCCCAGGACGAGGAGATCCGCGCGCTCAACCCCTTCGAGGCGGCCTTCCGCCGCGCCAACCTCGTCACGGACGCCCCCCGCCATCTTTCACCCTTCCCCCCCCCCCCCCCACCATGACAGGTGACCCTCTTCAACGAGACGAGCCCCCAGGACGAGGAGATCCGCGCGCTCAACCCCTTCGAAGCCGCCTTCCCCTCTTCGTCTTCTTCTAACCGCCGATTTCCCCCTCCCCCCATCACCAGGTAACCCCATTTAACGAGACCAGCCCCCAGGACGAGAGGATCCGCGCGCTCAACCCCTTCGAGGCGCACCCTTGACCCTTGTTGCTCCCCTCTCCTCCTCCCCCCCCCTCACACCAGGTGACTCTCTTCAACGAGACGAGCCCCCAGGATGAGGAGATCCGCGCGCTCAACCCCTTCGAGGCGGCCTTCCGTCGCGCCAATCTCGTCACGGACGCCCCCCGCCGCGCCCCCGCCGCTGCTGACGCGGAGGAGGAGCTGCTGGTGGTGGAAAAGAAGGAAACAGCTGAGGCAGCGGTACAGACAGTGGCGGAGGCTGTAGAAGAGGCAGCTGCGGAAGCAGCAGAGGCAGTGACGGCTGCTGTGGAGGAGGAGAAGAAAGAGGAGAAGGTAGAGGAGGAGGCGGTTGCTGTGCCGCTCGAGGCTGTTGCTGCTGCTGAGCCTGCTGCGGCTGAAGCTGTTGCGGAAGTGGCGGAGGCTGTGGTGATGGAGGATATCCCGGCTGTGGAAGAGAAGGAGGAGGCTGCTCCTGCTCCTGCCGCCACCCCCGCAGCAGGTAGCAGTGAGTAGTTTATCAGGGGGAGAGTAGGCGAGGGGGGAGGGTAGGGGAGGGGGTAGGGTGCTGAAAAGGGGCTGAGCTAGTTGATTCTGTTTGCATGGTGGAGGGATGTTGTTTAGGGCTCAGGGTTTCAAACGAGTTGTCTGGCTGTTTAACCCTTTTGTGTAACCTTTTACCTTGATAATGCAGAAATAATTTTCTCCAATCTGAAATCATCAAACCGCCCAGCAGCCTTCCTCCCACGCCTGTGCCTTCACCTCGTCTCAGCCTTCCTCCTCCCATTGCCTTTCCCTCTATCACCCACACCCACTACCCACCAACAAAGCGTCCCTACCACAGCTCTCCACTCCACTCACCCACCAACCACCCTTTACCCACATCCCTTCCTACCCTTTCGCTCTACTCGGTACCTACCCTGCGCCATAAGCAGTAGCCTGTTCTCACCTGTTCACTAACAATCATTTCCCGGGGCTGCGTTTCTGCAGTCTGCCTCCTCTGGTTCCAAATTAATTACCCTAAAGCTGACAGTCGCATAATTTGTTAACATCTCCCCAACCCCCTCCATTCCCTCGCCGTTGTTCGCATGCGCCCTCTCTTCCCTGTTCTCCTTCCGTTCTCCCTTTCCTCTCTCTTTCTTTCGCCACCTCCCCTTCCTTGATCTAGTCCTCTCTCTCTCTCTTCCCCTGTCCCAGTGTTCCTGAGGCGCCTCTAGATCGTGCTCTCTCTCTTCCCCTGTCCTAGTGTTCCTCTAAAACACCACCATACACTTTCACATGCCCACACTTTTAACTCAAAGGGCACATGTATGGTGGCACATGTATGGTGGCACATGTATGGTGGCACATGCATGGTGGCACATGCATGGTGGCACATGCATGGTGGCACATGTATGGTGGCACATGCATGGTGGCACATGCACGATGGTGCAGCTTTGCCTTGGCTTCACCTCTCTTTCCACCATCCTTTTCCATTCGATCTCCCCGCATTCCTCATTGCTCACTCCCCAAATCGTTGCCTCCCCCTTCATGCATTTCAGCAGCAGTGGTGAAGCAGCTGATCCCTCAAACTCCCTGTTTCTTCCCCCCTTCCCCAACCCTACAGGCATTTCAGCAGCAGTGGTGAAGCAGCTGAGGGAGGAGACCGGAGCCGGCATGATGGCATGCAAGAAGGCTCTCACCGACACCAACGGGGACCTCGACTCAACCTTATCCCCCGCTCCCCACGCCTCTATCCATTCCCTACAGGCATTTCGGCCGCAGTGGTGAAGCAGCTGAGGGAGGAGACCGGAGCCGGCATGATGGCATGCAAGAAGGCTCTGACCGACGCCAACGGGGACCTCGACACGGCCCGCGAAATCCTCCGCAAGAAGGGCCTAGTCAGAAGGGCCCTTGCCAGTGTCGACAAGAAAGCCTCTCACTAACTCACTTACTCTGCTTCTTTTCCCGCTCCCTCACCTTAAACCCCACCTCCGGTGCAGCAGCAGGTGGTATTTCAGCAGCAGTGGTGAAGCAGCTGAGGGAGGAGACCGGAGCCGGCATGATGGCATGCAAGATTGCCCTCACAGACGCCAACGGGGACCTCGACACGGCCCGCGAAATCCTCCGCAAGAAGGGCCTGGCTTCGGCGGACAAGAAAGCCTCTCGCATCGCGTCCGAAGGGCTCGTCAGCAGCTACGTTCACTCGGACCGCATCGGGGTTCTCATTGAGGTGAACTGCGAGACGGATTTCGTCGCCCGAGGGAGCGCGTTCCAGGAGCTGGTTGAAGATTTGGGCATGCAGGTGGCGGCTTGTCCGCAGGTGGAGGTGGTATCTGTTGAGGATGTGCCTGCAGAGCAGGTGGCGAAGGAGAGGGAGGTGGAGATGGGGAAGGAGGATCTGGCGAGCAAGCCCGAGGCGGTACGCGGGAAGATTGTCGACGGGAGGATGGCGAAGCGGCTGAACGAACTGGCTCTTCTAGAGCAGCCGTATATCAAGAATGATAAGGTGATGGTGAAGGATGTGGTGAAGCAGGCCATTGCTTCTCTTGGGGAGAATATCCGCATTCGCCGCTTCGTGCGGTTTAACCTCGGGGAGGGTATCGAGAAGAAATCGGCTGATTTCGCAGCGGAGGTGGCAGCAGCGAGCCAGGTTCAGGCCCCTGCTGCTCCCGCGCCTGCTGCCGCTCCTGCCGCCGAAGCTGCGCCCGAGCCTGCCGCCGACAAGCCCAAGGTCGCCGTGTCTATGGCGGCAGTGAAGCAGCTTCGGGACGCCACTGGCGCCGGCATGATGGACTGCAAGAAAGCACTGGAATCCACCGATGGGGATGTTGATGCTGCCCGGGAGCTTCTCCGCAAGAAGGGCCTCGCGAGCGCAGACAAGAAGGCGTCGCGCATCGCCGCGGAGGGTATTGTGGGGAGCTACATTCACGACGGGCGCATCGGCGCACTGATCGAGATCAACTGCGAGACGGACTTCGTCGCACGCGGGGAGAAATTCCGTGAGCTGGTCGACGACCTAGCGATGCAGGTGGTGGCGTGCCCGGGGGTGCAAGTGGTGAGCGAGGAGGATGTTGACTCGGCTTGGCTCGCCAAGGAGCGGGAGATGGAGATGGGGAAGGAGGATCTGGCGAGCAAGCCCGAGGCGGTTCGCGGGAAGATTGTCGACGGGCGGCTGGCGAAGCGCGTCTCGGAGCTGGCGCTACTGGAGCAGCCGTTCCTTAAGAACGATAAGGTGACTGTGAAGGAGGTGGTTAAGGAGGTGGTGGCTGCGCTGGGGGAGAACATCCGCGTGAGACGGTTTGAGAGGTTTACTCTCGGGGAGGGGATTGAGAAGAAGGTTTCGGATTTCGCTGCTGAGGTGGCTGCTGCTGCGGGGCAAGCATAAGCAGGCCTCGGGTTTCGGTGTTTGAGGCGCCTGAGAGATTGGATTTCGGTGCTGGCCCTGCCTCTGGTGACTCGGCTGCTGACGCTGCTGCTTCACTTGGGGGTGGAGCGGTGGAACTGAGATGCTTAGAAACGCACAAGCGCTAGCTATGTCCAGCCCCCTCACTCATCTTCTTGAGACGTCACAAGCGCATCCCGTCCATGATTGTTTATGCCTTGATCTGTTTTCCCAACACTAGGATGCCTTCCCCAACATTTATGGCACCTTGCAATAGTCTTCCCCTCCCCACTTTTCATTTCCTGTTGACTTAATGTTCATGTAGTGCAATCAGACTTGTGCTCTCACGTTCCAAGTCTTCTGAAAAGGATGGTTGCTTGGTGTAGGTAGGTAGATAATCAAGCTGCTAGCCTGTGGTTCTTCTGATGAGCTGTTACCAACATGCCAGCCACAACATATAGTGGTACCTGCAATTCCTGCTTGCAGTAGCTTCTGCACTGCACGACACTACCGTATGTTTTGGCGCCACATATATCACAGATCATTGCATAAATGGTACTTGTCAGAATCCCAACCACTAGACCATTGGGATAAAAAGGCTTGTTTCAGTAGCGGGTCAGTGCGCCCATAACTCCCCAGGCTAACAGACTTGTAACCCTCCAAGAATCAATCGGGGATCTCACAGTGCAAGTCTTCTGACACTCCCCCACATTGGGAGGTCCAGGACTCGGCACAGCGGCAACGGCCTGCATGTGTATACACCGGGATTCGAACCCGATATTACTCTGATACCATGTCAGAATCCCAACCACTAGACCATTGGGATAAAATGGCTTGTATCAGTAGTGGGTCAGTGCGCCCATAAACCCCCCAGGCTAACAGGCCTATAACCCCCTAAGATCAATCGGGGATCTCATAGTGCAAGTCTTCTGACAGTACTATACTAGCAAAAGGCCGTATAGTGAAAGGAAGAACAATGCCGCTTGATTTATTATAGCAGGAAATGTCAGCAAGACATGTGTCCTGAATATTCATGAAAATAAACCTATACCCAGAATCATCCTTTCACGCAAATGGTGCACCCCTTAATGAGGACACCAAATTGGTGCACTGTATGCAGCAAACAAGCAACCCCTTGCCATATTCTACCACGCCCCGCATCCCATGTCCCACATCCTTCCTCCCACATCCTCTCCCCCCCTCTCCCACACGCCATCCCTCCTCATGTGAAATTCCTCCTGAAGTTGCGGCCGTTCAGCTCCAGGTGGGCGTCAGGGCACCTTCCTCCCCCACACCCCGTGTGATGAGACGCTTTTTGAGTCGACTCAAAAATCGTCTCATCATTTTTCATGTGAAATTCCTCCTGAAGTCGTGGCCGTTCGTCTCCAGGTGGGCGTCGGGGCGGCTCTGTTGAGAATTCTCAGAAGTCAAACCAACATAGGTGGGTGTCAGGGCACCCCCCTCCCCCACACCCCACGTCCCTCCTCCCACATCTCCCTCCCATCCTTCCCCCTCATGTGAAGTTCGTCCGCACACCTATGAGGATGTTATACAGCACGTCGGACCAGGCATTGGGAACACAAGGCAGGCACTTGTGGCTGCAGTTGTGGAAACAAGGGCTAGGCTACCCCCGCCCCTCCCTTATTGAAACACCTCATGTGAAGTTCCTCCTGACGCCCATCAGGATATTGTAGAGCACATCATCAGACCAAGCGTGGGAAACACCTGGCAGGCACCAGTGGCTGCAGTATTCTTCCTCCTCTTCCCAACACCCATGGCTCCACACCTCTCCCTCCTGCTCCTCCTCATGTGAAGTTCCTCCGCACGCCCATCAGGATATTGTATAGTACGTCGGACCAGGCATCGGGCACACCCGGCAGGCACCAGTGGCTGCAGTCGCGACCATTAAGATACAGGTGGGCGTCAGGGCGCATGGCGCTCATGTAGGTGATTTCTGCCACTTTCATGGTTGACCGCTTCATTACTGTCACCTGAGGCGCAACAAGGGGGAAAGCAGGGGAGGAGATCGAGTCTTAGTGGGGATCACAGGCACAAGTGCCTGCAGTTGCGACCACTGAGTCCCAGGTGGGCGTCAGGGCGCATGGCGCTCATATAGGCGATTTCCACCACTTTCATGGTTGACCGTTTCATTACTGTCTCCTGGAGGGATGTTGTCATGGGGCGAGGGAGACAGGGGAAGGAGAGGTCGAGGGTGAGGTCAGCCCCAGGTGGGCGTCAGGGCGCATGGCGCTCATATAGGCGATTTCCACCACTTTCATGGTTGACCGTTTCATTTCTGTCACCTGGAGGGATGTTGTCATGGGGCGAGGGAGACAGGGGAAGGAGAGGTCGAGGGTGAGGTCAGCCCCAGGTGGGCGTCAGGGCGCATGGCGCTCATATAGGCGATTTCCACCACTTTCATGGTTGACCGTTTCATTACTGTCTCCTGGAGGGATGTTGTCATGGGGCGAGGGAGACAGGGGAAGGAGAGGTCGAGGGTGAGGTCAGCCCCAGGTGGGCGTCAGGGCGCATGGCGCTCATATAGGTGATTTCCACCACTTTCATGGTTGACCGTTTCATTTCTGTCACCTGGAGGGATGTTGTCATGGGGCGAGGGAGACAGGGGAAGGAGAGGTCGAGGGTGAGGTCAGCCCCAGGTGGGCGTCAGGGCGCATGGCGCTCATATAGGCGATTTCCACCACTTTCATGGTTGACCGTTTCATTACTGTCTCCTGGAGGGATGTTGTCATGGGGCGAGGGAGACAGGGGAAGGAGAGGTCGAGGGTGAGGTCAGCCCCAGGTGGGCGTCAGGGCGCATGGCGCTCATATAGGTGATTTCCACCACTTTCATGGTTGACCGTTTCATTATTGTCACCTGGAGGGATGTTGTCATGGGGCGAGGGAGACAGGGGAAGGAGAGGTCGAGGGTGAGGTCAGCCCCAGGTGGGCGTCAGGGCGCATGGCGCTCATATAGGCGATTTCCACCACTTTCATGGTTGACCGTTTCATTACTGTCACCTGGAGGGATGTTGTCATGGGGCGAGGGAGACAGGGGAAGGAGAGGTCGAGGGTGAGGTCAGCCCCAGGTGGGCGTCAGGGCGCATGGCGCTCATATAGGTGATTTCCACCACTTTCATGGTTGACCGTTTCATTTCTGTCACCTGGAGGGATGTTGTCATGGGGCGAGGGAGACAGGGGAAGGAGAGGTCGAGGGTGAGGTCAGCCCCAGGTGGGCGTCAGGGCGCATGGCGCTCATATAGGCGATTTCCACCACTTTCATGGTTGACCGTTTCATTACTGTCTCCTGGAGGGATGTTGTCATGGGGCGAGGGAGACAGGGGAAGGAGAGGTCGAGGGTGAGGTCAGCCCCAGGTGGGCGTCAGGGCGCATGGCGCTCATATAGGTGATTTCCACCACTTTCATGGTTGACCGTTTCATTACTGTCTCCTGGAGGGATGTTGTCATGGGGCGAGGGAGACAGGGGAAGGAGAGGTCGAGGGTGAGGTCAGCCCCAGGTGGGCGTCAGGGCGCATGGCGCTCATATAGGCGATTTCCACCACTTTCATGGTTGACCGTTTCATTTCTGTCACCTGGAGGGATGTTGTCATGGGGCGAGGGAGACAGGGGAAGGAGAGGTCGAGGGTGAGGTCAGCCCCAGGTGAGCGTCAGGGCGCATGGCACTCATTAGGCGATTTCTGCCACATTCATGGTTGACCGCTTCGTCACTGTGACCTGGAGATTGGGTCAGGAGGTAGTGAGGGAAGAAAGAAAAGATGAACAATGAAGGGTAGCGGAGGTGACCTTTCTTCTCTCTCTACCTCCTGGCCAAACATGGTTAGGAAAGGAAGGATGAGCACCAGGTGGGCGTCTGTGCGCATGGCACTCAGATAGGTCCCCCTCCGCTACCTTTCATGGTTGATCTTTTCATAATTGATTTTTTTATTATTGATTTTCTGATAATTGATTTAGAGAAAAAAGAAAATCACCTTCTCCAGTAATAAATTGCCTGGTTCTTCATGGCTGGCATGATGAAGCTCATCAGTATGTGCTATGTGCTCCGTTTGCATATGGTAGAGAGCAAAGGGAACTCCTCTCGTCACGACAAGACTCAGTAACCTGTTTAGTGTGTGTTCAGAGGTAACCACTTGGCTGTTTCTTCACGGCTGGCATGATAAAGCTCATCAGCGTGTTCCCTGCCTCCACGTTCTCCGCATCACCCATAGACCACATCAACTACCACTTGCACAGTGGTAACCAGGTGGTAACCAGGTGGTAACCAGGTGGTAACCAGGTGGTAACCAGGTGGTAACCAGGTGGTAACCAGGTGGTAACCAGGTGGTAACCAGGTGGTAACCAGGTGGTAACCAGGTGGTAACCAGGTGGTAACCAGGTGGTAACCAGGTGGTAACCAGGTGGTAACCAGGTGGTAACCAGGTGGTAACCAGGTGGTAACCAGGTGGTAACCAGGTGGTAACCAGGTGGTAACCACGCACCTGTTTCTTCATGGCTGGGAGGATGAAGCTCCGCTTTCACGTTCGGCGGGAACGGCTGGGCGGCGTTGCAGTAGCCCTTGTCGTGCACGGGGGAGAAGGTGAAGAACACGGCAGCTCCCTTGTAGTTCGCCTTGGCAAAATAGTCCCGCACGGTTACCAGCGCCTTGCTCATGACTGGAATGGGGTACCAGGGAGTGGTCTGGTCCTTGGGCTGTGGGTGGGAGAGGGGGGAGAGGAGGAGAAAGGGGAAGAAGCAGGTGGGGGGGGGAAGAGAGCAGAGGTTGGGTCAGGGGGAAGCAGGCTGGGCGGCGTTGCATTAGCCCTTGTCGTGCACGGGGGAGAAGGTGAAGAAGACAGCCGCTCCCTTGTAGTCTGACTTGGCGAAATAGTCCCTAAAACGGTTACCAGCGCCTTGCTCATAACTCGAATGGGGTATAAAGGGAGGAAAGGTGAACAAGATCTCACCGTCTGGTCGCTCGGCTGAAAATTGTGGAGGGCTGTGGATGGAGAGGGTGGGGTGGGGGGAGAGAAGAGTGGATGGGGAGTGGGGAGAGGGGACAGGGGAGGAGAATGCGAGAGGGAATAGGGGGGGAAGGGTGAGGAGATCGGCATACGAGGTGGGGGGGGGGGGGGAGAGGGTGTGGGGGGGAGAAGAGAGGGAGGGGGGAAAAGAGAGGGAGGGGTGAGAAGAGAGGGAGGGGGGAGAAGAGAGGGAGGGGGGAGAAGAGAGGGAGGGGGGAGAAGAGAGGGAGGGGGGAGAAGAGATTGACAGGGGAGAAGGTGAAGAAGAAGGTGAGAAGGCTCAATTGTAGGATGACTTTGCGAAACAGTCTCTAACGGTTACCAGCACACACCAACACACCAACACACCAACACACCAACACGCCAACACACCAACACACCAACACGCCAACACACCAACACACCAACACACCAACACACCAACACACCAACACACCAACACACCAACACACCAACACACCAACACACCAACACACCAACACACCAACACGCCAACACGCCAACACACCAACACCGCAACACTGCAGGAGTGTGTTACCGTGACGCGGTAGCATTAGGTGCCTGCCAGCACACTCACTCACTCACCGGATGGAACAACCAGTGGCCCGCGTTGAACACCATGGCGTCCGTGTAAGGGAGGAGCGTGGGGCTCTGTGATACAGTACGGCTGTAGTTACAAGGGCAGCAGTACAGCATTACAATACTGCTGGCCTTCTAACTATGAGCTTAGGTCTGTGTAAGGGAGGAGAGTGGGGCTCTGTGATGTGATCCAGTACGGCTATTACACTAACACTGTAACAATGATTGCAGCACAAGCAATCACTCACTCACTCACTCTCTTGCTCACTCGCTCACTCACTCACTCGCTCACGCACTCACCGGATGGAAGAACCAGTGGCCCAAATTGAACACAATGGCATCCCTGTGTGGGAGGAGGGAGGCAGGGTGGGGATCCCCAGTGCAGTGCAGCAATGCCATCACACCACGCACAGCTCGTTCAGCACACTCACACACACACACTCACTCACTCACACACTCACCCACTCACACACTCACTCACTCACCGGGTGGAAGAACCAGTGGCCCGCATTGAACACAATGGCGTCGGTGTAAGGGAGGAGCGTGGCGAGGGGTGGTGCAGTGCTGCTGTAAGCCTGTAACCCTGTAACACACCAGATGGACAAGGACGCACACTCACCGGGTGGAAGAACCAGTGGCCTGCGTTGAAGACAATGGCATCGGTGTAAGGCAGGAGTGTAGCCCACTTAGGGTTCATCGTGTAGACGGCCGTCTTGTGGTTCGTGGTCTGTTGGGAAAGAGGGATGGAAGGAAGGGGCAGGCGGGGGGTGGAGGACAGGGGAACGGAAGGATGGGGAGGGGGAGCGTTGAACACAATGGCGTCCGTGTAAGGGAGGAGCGTGGCCCATTTGGGGTTCATTGGTGTAGACCGCTGTGTTGTGGTTGGCGGTCTGTTGGGAAGAGAATGGTGGGGGGAGGATGGCAAAGGACAGATAGAATGAGGGAGGGTTGGGTGAGGGTGATGAGGTTGTGATTCGGCTCAAGAGGTAAGTTACATACATGATCACATCTTTTATACTCACACATGAACTACACTCACATAACGTGGGCTCTGAAAGCAGGTAGGCGCTGTTGACTGTTTGGTTACGGACGGAGGTTGTAAATTGACTTGAAACGTGATGTACTGTACAGTAACTATCCAATAAAAGCACCCTCAGTAAACTCACATATCGTGGGCTTTGAACCAGGTAGCCGCTGTTGATGGTGAGAGTGGTGAGGTTGTAATTCGGGACGAAGTACGACCCGAGTTTCCGATTGCCCACCGTCACCTTCTTTAACTGGTGGGGGGAGGAGCGAGAGGAGAGCGTAGGGAGTGGTGAGGTACCTTCTTTAGCTTTTGAAGGAAAGGGGGAGAGGGGTGGAGGGGAGTGGTGAGGTTGTAATTTGGCACGAAGTAGGACCCTAGCCGCCGATTGTCCACCTTGACCTTCTTGAACTGGTGTGTGGAGGAGGGGGAGCAGAGGGGAAGGGATAGAGGGGGGAGAGGAATAGAAAGGGAGTGGTGAGGTTGTAATTCGGGACATTGTACGACCCGAGCCTCCGATTGCCCACCTTCACCTTCTTGAACTGGTGTGTGAGGGGGTGGAGGGGGAGTAGGGGAGTGGGTGTGGGGAGGATGCATAAGGGTGCGAGGGAGGGAGAAAGAGAGAAGATGCGTGGGTGTGCGAGGGAGAGAGGAGTGGAAGGGAGTGGTGAGGTTGGAATTCGGCACATAGTACGATCAAGTCTCCGATTTCCAACCTTGACCTTCTTGAACTGGGGGAGGGAAAGGAAAGGGGGGGAGTGGGAGAGAAGGGGGGTGTGGTGAGGATGCGTATGGGTGTGAGGGAGAGAGGAAAGGAGGAGTGAAAGGGACTGGAGAGGTTGTATCGTCACATACTACGATCAAGTCTCTGATTTCCAACCTTGACTTTTTTTACCTCGTGTACAAACTGCCGTTTTATGAATTACTTCTTGCATCATATTTTTTAACAATTTTTTTATACGTGATATTTTCTTTTAGAAACCAATGACTTGCAACTCACCACTACCCGTGTTGTAGCCTGCAGGAGGCACACGATGCCCTCGTACAGGTTGTCGTTTAACGAGTCACCCACAAACGCCATCACAGTGTTCCGCATCTTCTTCAGAAATCGCTTGCCATTGAACCTGGAGGGCAGGGGTGGAGGAGAGAGAGCCATGTGCACGAGTGTGATTACAACGAATATTTGAAGAAATGGATGAAGGCGATCAAAACGGCAGTGCCATCACAGTGCTCCGCATCTTCTTTAGAAACCGCTTGCCATTGAACCTGGGGGACAGGGGTGGAGGAGAGAGGAGTCATCCGTGCGGTTGTGAATGTAACGATCATGTGATTGTAAGTGTGAAGCTACACTGCTCCCCAATCAAAGCTCGGATAAATATACCAACGCTATGGAGCAGTGTAGCAACAGCCCCGCGTTACTAACTTTCATCCCAATAAACATTTCTTCCCCCAATTTACACCATCACGGACACGAACCCCTCACTCCTTCCCTCGTCAAATCCCTCCAATCACGCACTTCCACGTGTAGTAGTTGCAGGGCGGCGCGGGCACCCAGACGTAGTTGGAGGGGTGCTGCTTCCCGGGAGGCACGTTGACGCAGCTGAAATGCTTCGAGCAGTTTAGTGGGTACGGCACTTTGTACCCGGGAATTTTCGAAATGTGCACCCAGCTGCGCAGAGAAGATATTGAGTGGAGTGGGGAGGGGGAGGGGGAGGGGGAGGGGAAAGGGGGAAGGGGAGGGGGACGAATGATGAGACCACAAACATTGCAGCTGAATTGCTGCGAGCAGTTTAGAATGTACGGCACCTTGTACCCGTGTATCTTGGAAATGTGCACCCAGCTGCGCAGGGTGGTTTGGGCGGAAGAAGCCAAAGGGGAAGGAGGGGGAAGGAAGAGGGAGGGGGAGGGGAGGGGGGGGAGAGGGGGAGGAAGAGGGGTGTTGAGGTGGAAAGAACCAGAGACGATGGGGAAACGGGGATGAAGTTGGGAGTAGGAGCGGTGACGTGAGGAGAAGGGGAGGGGAGGGGATTAGTAAGGGGCGGGCGGGGTAGGGGTGATGAGGAGACGGTAAGAAGGGGAGGGGGGAGGAGAGTGGGGGGTGGAAGAGAGAGTTGCATAGGTTAGACAGGCGTAAAGGAACCGGTATTGATGAGACTTTGCAAATTCCATGGAGGGAATTTTCAGTCGACAAAAAAATCGGAGAGGTTTCGCAGGGGAGAGGTGCAGAGGATAGACCGGAGTAAGGGTGCTGGTAATTTATAGTAATCCGCAAATACCATGGAGGGGAAGGAGTACAGGGGGAGGGAGTACGGCGAGGTACGGTGAGAGGGAGCACAAAAGGTTACCGAAGGAGGGAGTGCAAGGAGGTGCTGGGAAAATTGGACACTAACAACGAGATGGGGGAAAGAGGGGTCAGCGCACGAAAGAAGGAAATAATGAAGATGAATATCAACCGCCGAAACATGTCGGCAAAATTCTCAGCAACTGCAGCGTTGCGATAACATTGGCGATTTGGCCGAAATACTGGTTACCCTCGCGTACCTGCCCTTGCGGTAATCGCAGCCGGCCGCTTTCGATGCCTTGTTCTTCGCCTGCAGCCGTCGCGGATTCGCGCTACTCTCGCCAGTCAGCAGGTACGCGAGAGTCGATTCCGGCGAAAACGTCGCAACAGGCGACGACGACGACGAAAATGCAGAAATGGAGTCAACGTGCGACCAGATTTGACCGTGCGACTCTGCCGCTGCTCCAGCTGCGACGCTGTCGCACAGCAGCGTAGACGCTACCAATATGGCGAGCGTAGCTTGGGATATTGCAACGAACATTGAACCTAGATTGTGCCGCCGCATGGTCTGCGCGCCCCAACTCCTGTCATCGCGGCGAAAATTGCGGAGCACGCCGGGATGTCGTTTCGACTGCCGTTCTTGAATCGACAGTTCTGATACGGAGTCTTTTATTCCCTCTATCAATAGCTGCGATAGTCGTTGAGCCATTTTGTGGAAATCCTAGTGTTTCGCTATGAACCACCTGTTCAGGAGCTTTATATCGCGTTTCGACAACGGGTCTCAAACGAAGCGCCTCGACAGCATGTCTATTTGCAATCTGCTCCTATCGAGGCTGACGGCGAATCGGCGGGGGAGATGCGGCAGACGAATTACAGAAAACCGGCGCCGCCACCCGCATTATCGAGCATCTTAGAGATCTACAAAAAGAGTAGAAGTTCCTATTATGTACGGAGTTTGACGGGCCAAAACAGGATACACGTCGAGCGTAGTTGGCTCTAACAAGGGCGGGAAACGCGTTGTGCGCCGCCTAGCAACTCCACGCGGTTTTAAGAGGAGAGAGCCATGGCGAGCTGGTGGTAACCGGCGTTTCTGAAACGACAGAACCAGAGAAGGATTGGAAAGCTAGAAAAATGCCGGCATACCCTTCAGAAGTAGCACCTGGTTCTCGGAATTTACAAGCTAAGTAGGGTCTCCACAGAAACGCCGGCCTTTAAGAAAACCTACTAAGCAATCCAGGGGTAAGCGAGCGCTACACTGGGACGGCAGGCAAGAACGAGCGCGAAAACTGAGGTGAAAACGCGGATAGTTGCCACGACGCACGTGACCCCGATCACCGTCCGTCGCGAGGACCAGAGCACTGGAATGTGGTATTGAAATTACCAAACAATATTGCTGCGAAAGGGGAAAAGCGGAAATAGTTTCGGGAAATAGTCAAGCCAGACCATGCACTGGGAGTGGTGGAGCTAGACCGAGCCGTGGGAAGAAGGCGGAGGAGCGGGATGGGTACGAAATTTCGTGATGCTGTTCTGTGCTTCACAGGTTTACTCAAGCCTACTGCTTCTCGGATGACTGCGGGAAGTGATGAGAGGAGGAGGTGCGCGGGTGCGATATAGGAAAAGCGGCTGTTGGGTGAAAGCGTGTTGGTGCAAAAAATGCGAGGGAAATGGCGAAAATTGTGCTCTCTCGTCGCGGATTCCCCAGCCGCTTGAACAGGTGGACGTCCGCGCGGTGCGGAATGTCCAGCCAGCAGGTTGCACTGCTGCAGGTGGTGTTCAGCAGACGGGTGGTTCTTGCAATCAGAGAAATCTTCTTGATTAGGTACCTCGTTTGTGTTAAGGAAATACAGTACACTCTGAATCATGTGCTAATCCAGGCAGTTATGAAATCTTATGTTTGACCTATCAACCTAAATCGCACCAACACTATCACCAATGGCTGCACAGCGGAGATTCCTCCAATCCAACTGGCTTGTTCTGTACTCCCCTCCAAAGGTTTCGGGCTTCCCACCACTTTGGTTGGGCAGATCCAACTTGCCCAGCGACCACGCTGGAGAAACTAGGCTGTGCTGGTGCCATGCTGGAAGTAAAAGGCGCATTGGTAGTGCAATGTCTCGCCAGCTCTCCGCCAACAGCGCCGCTGCCACGTGTACAAGCGGCTCGTTTTGGGCCAGGAGGCACGTCACCGTCAGCACGATGAAAAGATCTTCCTCCTGCATTCCCGGGGTTGCCCGAAACAATGGGCACAGCTCAGATTCCGTGATGTCCATTCACATAGCAGTGCCATGTGAAGGAATGTCAGTTTCAGGCATCTTGGTCATCCATAAAGAGTTCCACGAACATCATTTCACCAACTTCTGCTTCTGTACGTGAAGCATACTTCGCTATACTTTCAGCCAGCTTCCACTATCGTTTCAGGTAAAGATAGTTTCTAGGAGGCTCGTCCATCCTCTTTAATACTCTCAGTCTCGAGAATCTCACCCGTTCGTTCCCCGTGCCATTCTTTCCCATCCTCTCTGTCAGATCCTAAAGTTCTCTTCGTCATCTAGCCATGGGTAAGCTTGGATTCAATTTCGCCCTCCATAGTTGTGGTGCATTGACAATATGAAGCTAATAACCGTTCTATTTATCGTGTTCTGTCTGTTCCGTCTCCCACTTCCTGCGATTCAGCCCCCGTCAAGATCGGCATTAACGGTGCGTTTACTATTTCTTAGCTCCTGGATTAATGTCTTTCAGGTTCAGCAATCTTTGATCTCATTTCGTGAAATATTGATTCTTTCAGGATTCGGCCGCATTGGCCGTCTCGTCGCCAGGGCTATCCTCAAGCGCGATGATGTGGAGCTGGTTGCTATCAACGACCCCTTCATTGACACCACCGTACGTCCTGAAGAATTTATTGATTACACCCTGATGTGCTCACATTCTTACTTGGTGCTTTTTTAAATTGTCAAGATCGATGTCTGACACTCTCGAGGACCATGTGTCAAATTTCAATGTTGTTTGCAGTACATGGTGTACATGTTTAAGTACGATACCGTCCACGGCCAATGGAAGGGCGATGTCTCCGTGAAGGACGAGTCCACCCTGCTCTTCGGCGGCAAGGAGGTCAAGGTCTTCGCCAAGAGGGACCCGGCTGAGATTGCCTGGGGCTCGGCTGGTGCCGATTACGTTGTGGAGTCCACCGGTGTCTTCACCACGAAGGACAAGGCTGCCGCTCACATCACCGGTGGCGCCAAGCGCGTCGTCATCTCCGCTCCCAGCGCTGACGCTCCGTACGTGCAGCTCCTGCGAGCGCTGTTTTTTTATCAAAATTTTAACCTGTTGAAAATCCCCACCGTGAGTTGAAAATCTTTCATTTCTTTATCCGTGCAGGATGTATGTCATGGGTGTGAACCACACCGAGTACACCGCCGACCAGAACATCATCTCCAACGCCAGCTGCACCACCAACTGCCTTGCACCTCTTGCCAAGGTCATCAACGACAAGTTCGGCATTGTCGAGGGTCTCATGACCACCGTCCACGCCGTGACTGCCACCCAGAAGACCGTCGACGGTCCCTCCAACAAGGATTGGCGCGGAGGTCGTGGTGCTGGCTTCAACATCATTCCCAGCGGCACTGGTGCCGCCAAGGTACGCCTCTGACCACTCCTTTCACGATAACAGTACATGTTGGCGCTTCGATCATAGTAGCCTGACCTTGTGCAACGATCTCTGTTCTCCAGGCCGTCGGCAAGGTCCTTCCCGCCCTCAACGGCAAGCTCACTGGCATGGCCTTCCGCGTGCCCACTTGCGACGTGTCCGTGGTCGACCTCACCGTGCGGTTGGAGAAGGGTGCCAGCTATGATGAGATCAAGGCTGCTCTCAAGTAAGCCAACGCACATCCAATCCTGAACGAAAAGAAACTTGCATGAGAACGAAACTGAATGTCTTGTACTTGGTCTTCTCAGGGCCGAGTCTGAGGGTTCTCTGAAGGGCATCCTCGGCTATGTGGATGAGGATCTGGTGTCCGCCGACTTCATTGGTGATATGAGGTAAGCTTCGCATTTT